TTATGCTAATAAGTTCGAGAACTTGGCAGAAATGGACCTTTTCCTAACAATTATCAATATGCTGAAACTAAACCAAGATGAGTTAATCCATCTTAACAGGCCCATATCTAGCATTGAAATAGAAACAGCAATAAGAGACCTCCCATCTAAGAAAAGCCCAGAACCAGATGGTTTTACAGCAGAACTTTACAAGGCCTTCAAAGCAGAGCTCACACCAATACTCCTCCAAATCTTCAATGAAATTGAAATAGAAAGTTCACTACCGAACACGTTCTATGAAGCCATCATAACCCTCATCCCAAAACCAGGCAGGGACTCATCAAAGAAAGAGAACTATAGACCCATTTCTTTAATGAACATTGATGCAAAATTTATCAACAAAATTTTGGCCAATCGACTTCAACAATTCATCCAAAAAATCATACACCATGATCAAACAGGATCCGTTTCAGGGATGCAAAGCTGATTCAATATATGCAAATCAATTAATATAATTCATCACATCAATAGGAGCAAGGATAAGAACCAAATGGTAATATCAATAGATGCAGAAAAAGCATTTGACAATATCCAACACCCAGTTATGATGAAGGTTTTGGAAAAAGTAGTTATCCATGGAACATTTCTCAATACAATAAAGGCTGTGTATGACAAACTTACAGCCAGCATTATAGTTAATGGTGAAAAACTAAAGTTATTTATTCTTATCTCAGGAACAAGACAAGGATGTCCACTCTCTCCACTTCTCTTCAATTTAGGATTAGAATGCCTAGCTACAGCAGTGACAAGATGCAAACATAAAGGGGATCCAAATAGGGAAAGAAGGAGTGAAACTCTCCCTCTTTGCAGATGACATGATCTTGTATTTAAACAATTCCTCAGATTCCACTCCCAAATTACTCAAGCTGATTCAAAACTTTGGTGAAGTAGCAGGATATAAAATTAACCCTCAAAATTCAATGGCTTCTCTGTATGCCAACAATGAGATAAGTGTGGCTGAAATTAGGAAAGCAACTCCATTTGTAATAGCCCCACAAAAAATAAAATACCTGGGAATTAAATTAACCACAGAAGTGAAGGACCTCTTGATGAAAACATTAAAAACTTGAAAAAGGAAATCAAAACAGAACTTAGAAAGTGGCAAAACTCCCATGCTCCTGGATTGGAGAGATCAACATGGTGAAAATGGCAATACTTCCCAAGACTATCTACAAATTCAATGAGATACCTATCAAAATTCCAAGCTCATTCTTCAAGGAAATAGAAGAGGCAATCCAAAAATTCATATGGAACAATAAAAGATCCCGAATAGCAAAAACGATCCTCAACAGAAAGAACAGTGCTGGAGGAATATCAATACCAAATTTCAAACTCTACTATAAAGCCATAGTAATCAAAACAGCTTGGTGCTGGCACAAGAACAGACCTCAGGACCAATGGAATGGAATTGAAAACCCAGAAATGAACCTACAGTCCTATAAGCATCTAATCTTCAATAAGGGAGCTGAAAAAATAGAATGGAAGAATGACAGCCTCTTCAGTAAACGGTGCTGGAAAAATGGGTTAACTACTTGTAGAAAACTAAAGCTAAATCCTTATATGTCACCCTGCACCAGAATCAACTCCAAATGGATCAAATACCTCGGAGTCAAAGCAGACACTCTGTAAACGTTATAGGATGGAATGGTAAAAACCCTAGGTCTTGTTGGCACAGGCCGAGATTTTCTTAATAGAGACCCAGAAACACAATAAATCAAAGAAAGGTTGGACAAATGGGATTGCATGAAATTGCATAGCTTCTGCATGGCAAAGGACCTAGCTATCAAGATCAAGAAAAAGTCCACGGATTGGGAGAAGATCTTCACTAGCCATACAACGGACAAGGGTCTCATATCTAAAATATACTTGGAACTCAAAAAATTAAATCCCCCAACAA